GTATATGTATATGTATATGTATATGTATATGTATATGTATATGTATATGTATATGTATATGTATATATGTATGTGTCACACATGTCACATTTATTTATCAGCACAAATGCAACATATATATATATATATATATATATATATGTTGTATGTATGTATGTATGTATGTATGTATGTATGTATGTATGTTACTGTGATACATTAAAATTGTTTCATGTTTATTTGTAAACTTGATAGAGGCTGCCTATACACTCTTGCTGTATGATGAACTGTTGGAATGGTCAGACAGACCATTGCGGGAATTCCTAAGCTATCCTATGCAGACAGAATGGCAACGCAAAGAATTTCTTCATCTCACAATCATCCAGAATTTTGACAGGGGAAAAGTAAGAAAGATTTGGCTGATATTTTTCTTATTTGTTACTGCCTTCTTTTGAACAATTAATTATTAATATTGCTTGCCATCTATTATTTGAGGTACAGTATATTTGATATGGAAATTAAATTGCACATTCTCATATGAAATGTGAAGTTGGCTGTTTAGGGGAAATTTCAACCTGTACCCCATACCCATATTTCATTTAATATATATCTAGGTATATATAGGTTCAATAGTTCAAATTGTGATAATTTTTTTAAAAAAAAACCAAGAATGATTCCTCTTATGATCCAACATTTGTACCTACTGTGCCCTGTTGTATTGATTTATGAGCTGTATTGTTTATTTTTAAATTCTATGATGTTCTTAAAATGACAGGGTCTACATCAATAAAAACCAAATCTATTTCAGATTTGATTATTTTAGCTAAAATTTTGCATGCTCAATTGTAATGCTAAAATATGAGGTTTTGATTATGCAGTTAATATATTTCTATTGGTTGTTTAATTTCTGCTGTATTCTAAGCCCCTGATGAATTGGGATAGAAGGAGTCACACATTATTTCTGCAAGAGGTTTGGGCTTTTTGTTTCTTGATGAGCAAAACTGATGCCAATATGTGCAATTTTATTTGGAATTACTTTGGAAACTAAACAGTCTTATACAAGCAATTAATAGTAAGATTGTTTGAAAAGCCCTGTGGGTATTCTTACCACTTTTGTAACTAAAAGCCTCTTCTTAGGATCTAGTTTTGTTTTATAAAATTTATGCAGTGGCCTCTTTCAGTGTGAAGGATAAGAAAGAATTGTGGAACCATATCTTTGACTTTGTTTTCCTTCCTCCATCTTCACCTGGAAGACATAGATAGAGAAGTAGAGCCTTTATTACAAATACCTGATAAATGAATACCAGTTTCATATATAGTTTTCCATGCATAGGGATCTGGTAGAAATCTCAATGATATCAACATGACACCATTTTGCAAATAAATGAGTTACAGACTTGCGCCACATGACTGTGTCAAACTCAATCATGTCATGAGACATATCATGACATATCATGACTTTTTTGACTTTGCGGAGCTGAGCTGGGCATGGCCTGCATGTGACACATCCAGCCTGCGGGCCACCAGTTTGACACCCGTGCTCAACTACATAATTGTACAAATGATGTCATACGCCCTTCTCCCTGCCCATTTCCTACTAACATTCAGTCTTCTGTGTCAGCAGTTCCCAGTTCATGGATCATTGTGCAGTTTTATATAAATGCTTCCCAACAGTTACACTGAGAAGGAGATGGATCTTGAGAATCTTTGTACTGCAGAAGTGAATTTTTTAATGAATTCCTCTTTAATGTTAGTATGCTCTTTAGAAAAATAAGACTTTTTTTTTTTTACATTAAACTCTGCTTGGGGTGTTTTAAAATGAATGTCTTAAAAAAACCATCTGTAGAGGAGAATTGAACTACTCTATGCCTTTGCAGTAAATTTGGTCTTGTGAGAAATATTGATCATATGGACCTAGTCTATGCTCCCCTGCTTAAACGTGTATATTTTAATCAGCCTAATGTAAATAAAACAGTTGACACAACATGTTGCAAGCACTAATCAAGCAAAATAAGGGTGGATTCCTGCTGGCATTACTACCAATTTGGTGCCTGAAAATTTTTTTCAATGAAGATTGTTCTGTGCATGTGCAGAACAGAAAATAAAGACGGCGGTGCTCAGGATAGAACTGGTACAGTCATGTGTCCAGCCAAGTTACTACCTATTCTACCGAACCAGTCCAAATAAGTAGGAACCCACCTCTGAGCAAAGTGTATTAAAATTTTGGCCCTAGTAGGGAGGAAAGCCAATATATAAGCTCTGCTTCAAGGAGCAAAGTGATTTAAACCAGCATTAGTGGTACCTTCTGACTATCCTCTATGCTACATAAACCAAATATTTGAATAAGGCTATGTGTACAGTTTTGCCAATGGTATTCAGTAGTGCATGAATGAGGTAGTCTAAGAACCTGGTAAGTCAGTTATTCTGAACATCTGTGAATAAAATTTAATTATATTTAATGTTTTAACAATTTTCATAAGGAGCTGTTCTCTTCCTTTTGGATATTATTAGTGATTGTTAAGGTAGAGATTGAACTGCTAACAGGAGACACTTGAAAATTTGTTGGGGACAGATAAAAACCTTCAGATTCTTCTCTTTGGTGAAAATTTCTCTTTCTTATTTGTCTACAGTGCTGGGAAAATGCTATTATTTTATGCAGGAAGATTGCTGAGCAATATGAAAGCTATTATGACTACAGAAATCTCAGCAAGATGAGGGTAATGAAATTGATTTTTTTAAAATATAAACATTATTCACACAGTACAGTACAGCCTTTCACAATTAAACTACCATTTTACCCACAGTGAGGACAGCCCTGAATTTAAGATCATCCCTTGAAGCAAAAGTAGACAAAGACAACAATCAATAAATAACCTAATAAAGACAAAAAATACTGTGTGATGCCTAATATGCCTACCTTGTTAATTTTGGGTTGTCAGTTCCAACTGAATCAGATACTTGATAATCAAACAGAGATACAAATTTTATTTATCTTTTGTGGGTAAAACTAAGAATGTAAGTGTAACAGTGACTTTTGTTTTAAAGTATAGTATCAATGAATATTTATTGTACGAGTTTCAACTATTGGGTGGTTTTAAAAATGTAATGAATAAACAAACTAGGATTGTTCAAGTGAATCTAGGGTTACATGAATGTAGGCTTTCATGGAAGGTATCTATTGGGCAATGTTGGGCTTCAAGATTTAGCAACTATGGTCTAGATCAGTGTTTTTCAACCTTTTTTGTGCAAAGGCACACTTTTTTCATGAAAAAAATCACGAGGCACACCACCATTAGAAAATGTTAAAAAAATTTAACTCTGTGCCTATATTGACTATATATAAAGTGTTTTTCCCACGGCACACCTTACACTATGTCACGGCACACTAGTGTGCCGCGGCACAGTGGTTGAAAAACACTGGTCTAGATAACAGAGTTTCTGATGTTTCCCCAACAAATATGGCTGGCATCTTCAGAAGCAAGGTGGTTTTGCCATACAATCTATAGGCAGTTGAGCAGTGACTGACTGGGCTCCTGTCTTTGTACACAAGTAATCTGATAGCCAGTGACTGTAGAGCCAGGAAATCTGAAGTCTAGACCACAGTCACAAAATCAGTCTACTTTGATTAAAAAGTTGCTCATCACATATGTCATTTGCCAAAAATAGAAGAGAGGGGTTTTTTTTTTGCAGGCATTGCATCTAAACACAATCCAGAAAAGGCAGACTAATGTGTTTTCTGGTTTGTTGTTGTTAGTTGCGAAGTCATGTCTGACCCATCACGACCCCATGGGCAGCGTTCCTCCAGGCCTTCTTGGCCTCTACCATTCTCTGGAGTCCATTTAAGCTCATGCCTACTGCTTCAGTGATTCCATCCAGCCACCTCATTTTTTGTCATCCCCTTCTTCTTCTCCAGAGATATTTCACGAGAATACTACACTCCTCTGCTTGCAACAGTCTTTCCCAGCATTAAGCTCTTCTTGAGTGAGTCTTTCCTTCTCATTAGGTGGCCAAAGTATTTGAGTTTCATCTTCAGTTGATCTCCTCTAGGACTGATTGATTTGATCACCTTGCAGTTCAAGGGACTCACAGGAGTTTTCTCCAGCACCATAGTTCAAAGGCCTCAATTCTTTGGTGCTCAGCCTTTCTTGTGGTCCAACTTTCACAGCCATACATTGCAACTGGGAAAACCATAGCCTTGACACATTTTTGTTGGCAGGGTGAGACGTGGTTGAATGTGAGTTGAATGCATCCTTCCCATATGCCATTCCACAACAAAATACTATCATGTTTATCAGTCAGATTGTGAAATCCGTAGAGGGAGTGGAGTTGCTATCTTCTATAAAAAGTCCCTAAATCTAAAAAAAAGATTCAACTTACACAGGAACTTGCTCTTCCAGAGACCATTGTCTGTGAACTGTCCTTAAATACCACATTTCGCTTCTTACTATGCTACAGAGCCCCTGATTATGACCTCGTTCATGCAAAGAAGCTAACTTCACTCCTGCCTCCTGTCCACACCCTCTTATTTTCGTTGGTGACTTCAACCTACTTCTTATAAATTGGACCCTAAATGAATGTACATCTGAACCCATACATGCAATCCTGTACAATGCCGTTACTACTCTGGGATTGGATCAATTAGTAACTAACATCACTAGACTCAACAACTGCCTTGACTTCATCTTCTGCAACAGTTTAAACTCAATTTATGGTCTACAAATACAAGAACCCTTTTCAAGCAGTGACCACAGCATGATTGACTTTTGTCTCAATTTATGTCCTCACAAAGAGGATCATAAGGATGGGTCCCCAAAATATAATTTCAAAAAAGCCAACTATAATCTCATACCTGCCAACCTATCATGTCTTGATTGGCACATTCTGTTCACTGGCTGTAATACTACTGAAGACCATTATAACACTATTTTGCTCAAAGTTGAAAATCATTAAATTATATGTACAATTAGTAATGCCCCCCCAAATAAAACAAATTACCCATAACAATAAGGAAGCTTCAATCCCCAAAAAAATCACTTTTGCGAAAAAACAAAACTAGCTATGTAACTAACTTTAAAAGTGATACAATACCTTATGCTGCCAGATAAAGGCAGAATGCACCAATTACTACTGCAGACGAGGAAAACCTCCTACACACAAAATACATCCACGCCTTCTATAATTTTGTAAACACCAAACTTAAAGACTCAAGAACCATCCCACCCATAAAAGGACCTAATGGGAAAGACTGTATCGATGAAGCTGTTAAGGCCATCCTTTTGAACACATTCTTCAGTTCAGTCTTTGTAAACAGCAATGGCTCGTGCCCAAAGTTCCTAGCCATACCACAACTAATTACAATGATCTACTACATATCGACTTTACTGAAGATAACATTGAAAAGGCTAACCTACATCCATCCCTATCTATTGGCCCCGATGGATTATGTGTCTACTTCTTAAACAGTCTCCACTGCCATAGCCGATCCCCTAAGCATAATCTATGAGATATCATTCAGAACTAGCTCCCTACTCAACCTATGATTCTTAGCAACCATCATCCCTATCTTCAAAAAAGGAGACCCGAGCCTAGTTGAAAATTACAGACCAATCTCACTGTGTTGTGTCATGTGCAAAGTCATGGAATCAATCATTAACCAATCCATTACCCTACAATTGGAGACAAACAACCTACTCTCTAAAAAACAATTTGGTTTCAGAAAAAAATTGTCCTGCAATCTGCAACTCCTACACTGCCAAAACATATGGACTACTCAACTCAATCAGGATAAAGCAATTGGCACAATTTACATTGACTTCTGCAAAGCCTTTGGTTCAGTGTTACACGATAAACTACAATTAAAACTAAACTCTTACAGCATTTCTGGATCCCTTCATAAGTGGACTGCTGCGTTCCTGTCAAACAGACAACAAATGGTCAAAATAGGGAGTGCCCTATCAAATCCTGGACCAGTTAACAGTGGCGTCCCCAAGGCAGCATTCCAGGACCCACACACTTTATACTCTACATAAATGACCTTTGCAATCATCTTATAAGCAACTGTGTCCTCTTGGCTGATGAAGTAAAACTATTCAACACCATCCACAATGCTGTTGCCCTTCAAAGCGACCTTGACTTTGTGTCTGAATGGGGGGAAAAGTGGCAACTTCAAATCTCAACCAACAAATGCTCTGTCTTACACATTGGTAAAAAAAAAATCAGAACACCAAATACAAGCTAGGTGGATACTACCTTGTATATGACCCTCACTCTGTCAAGGACCTTGGAGTACTCATATCAAATGATTTAAGCACTAGAGCTCACTGTAACAGCATCGCCAAAAGGGCATTAAAAGTTGTTAACCTAATTTTACAAAGCTTCTCCTCTAGTAATATTGTATTGCTAACTAGGGCATACAAAACCTTTTCTAGACCAATTCTTGAATACAGCTCATCTGTTTGGAATCTGCACTGTTTATCGGACATTAATACAATTGAGAGAGTCCAGAGATATTTCACGAGAATACTACACTCCTCTGCTTGCAACAGAATACCCTACAGCAGTGGTCCCCAACCTTTTTATCGCCGCGGACCAGTCAGCCTTTGATAATTTTACCGTGGCCCGCTGAGCGCGTC